CGTCTATATCCTCTAAATCACTGTCTCCTTCATTGCCATTGGTGTCTTCGATATCCAAGTCTTTGAGTGCATCGACCTCTTCATCAGGAAGACAGCAACATAGCTGGATATGGGGAGTCTCCTTCTTTGTCCTATTCATAACCGCAAACGCCCATCCCTGGTGGGGGGAAGAATGTTTTCTACCAGTTCCCAGTGAATCTGTGACCCTACGGTCCAAGGTAGAGGAATTGCGTGAAGCAACAGCTGCCGAATTTACTTCATTGCTAGAAGTTATAAGGTTCGCACCGTCGCGATATCTGCGAACGAAACGCGTGTTTACGCTGAGGCACGCTGATCGGTGGCGCTGATCGTTAGAGTTTTCCGGTGGTAGGGAGGAAATCGGCGACGCGACATAGCCTGACTGATCAACCACGAATAGGCGTACAATTTCCTCTCCAATCTTCGAGTCACCGGTGAACAGCTTTTCCATAACCCAAGAACCCGGTTCATACGATCGCTCTTCGTTTTCAGCGCGACGCCTACGCTTCATTCTTCCACTTCCGACCTCATCACCTCTAGACCGTTTCCTACTACCGCGTTTCGAGCTAGTGACTTTGGAAATCGCGTTTGTAGCTGACATCAGTGACTGAGATTCACGTTGAAATGATTAATGCATGTCAGCATGAAAATATTATCAAAACGAAATGGAATGAGGGTCGTTCAGTACCTTTACTGGTATTCAGAACGATCAAGTCCGCGGTATTTGGCTCAGAGTTCAAAGGTTCAAGGTTCAAAGGTTCAAGGTTCAAGGTCAAGGTTCAAGTCTGAAGCTGCCGAATTAATGAACTCTTTGAAGCCGTATCGGGCCGGCTCTCCATGACGCCGAGAATTCCGATTCAGCTTTTTCTTTCAGTAAATTTATGGTTGACTTTTGGTAAAAAATCTAATTATGTTTAATTTACCCTTCCTCCTTCCTTCCTTCCCAGACTCCTTCCCATCCACTGTTGCAAGCGAAAAAGAATTTGAAAGAAAGAGAAGACCGGAATAATTCCTTATATAGTATATCGTATATCTTATCACTATCTATTATCTTATCTTATATCACGTGGATGCAAATTTACCATGCTCTTCCCATAGAACGGCCGCCTCGAGGCGGCTGAGCCCTTGCTTGAGCTCTGAGAGACGACAAGGACTTGATACCAATGGATAGTTTAGAAGGCAGTTGACTCCAGAGCTTGAGCTTGAGCGCTCTTAGTGCATACATACATATCTTATCTCTAGATCATTCAGCGCTTGTCCTTATCGTGCTTACACATTTGTTTGTTCCCGATGTTTACGGAAAACAACCGGCGCCTATGAATTATACACCCCCAAGAGCCCTTGACAAGCAAGGGAATGCACTTTCTTTCACATTTTTTTCGCCTGCAAGAGTGGATGGGAAGGAGTCTGGTGTTTACCATAAGTACCACTATTCGAGAGTTCAAATTAATTTCATCATGATTCATAATCTTCGACTACTTATTTGGTCATGCATACAGACTGCAGCGTGTACAATAAGATAGGTATTCGGCTGTCCGAGGCCAGAAATACTGATATGAAAGTGGGTGAGTTTGCCTGGGGCTTGGCCCCGCGCAGCCCACCCGTAGATGGCGAGTGACCATGCGCATCCCAAACAGAGCCCGAGGCTCCTCCGCAGGTACTCGACGTCTACGGGGAGGCCTACCCAAACAGAGTTGAGGGCGAACTGAATCCCATATTCTTTGAACTATGTACTAGGAGCAATGAACCTGGAGAATGTGTAGTGAATCTTGCTGGGTATACTAAGCTGAAGCGGGAAGAATGAAAGACTTTGAAGTAAAGGGGTTCAAACGTTGAAGACCGGAGCTATAAGCACTACGGTACCAGTGGACAAAGGAAAAACAAGAGCAGTCAACAAAGCTCCAAAACAATGACATGCAATAAGGACAGAACACGGGAGCACAGAAACAGTGTTCATATTGATATTACTGATAGCCTTCCGGGGTGCTGAAGATAAGACACAGGCTCGATAAAAACTCTGAGCTGCTCCGAACGGCATGAAATAACAAGAATTGACAATTTCCCTAACTTTGCAGGATCAAGTAGCCCAAATTGTCCAACATGATCTGGAATATACATGTGAGTCAAGGTCTGCCAATATCCATAGGTCTCAATAATAAATGAACCGAACCGGGGACACCAAGCTGAAAATGATTTTGCCTAAATGACCAAAAAAAATAACATGGTGGGCCAATAATTGCCCGAAACATAACATAGTCTGATAAAGACTGCACATAACAAAGTCCCATAAAGACCGCACATAAGATATGACCTGGTCCAATAAAGACCAGGAAATAAGATGGTCCTGGCATAATGACAGGAAACATAACCGTCTGATAAAGACTGCAGATAACAAGGTCCAATAGACCACATATAACATGGTACAATAAAGACCGGAGCTCCATGAAGATGAAGGATATATAACACATCGAATACATCGGGTCCCATAAAAACCCGACATGAATCGCTGAGATAGCACCAGGAAAATAGAAAAATCAATTTTACACTTTGGGAAACACTCACCGTATGGCAATTTTTCAAATTGGTCTTGAGTATAAATCCAGAAAGGCTCTTCCTCGACAAGAAAATCTGCATTACACAAGGCTAGAAAGTTGATCGGTTTGGGAGGGTTGTCCAGAAGCGACGAGCGATGAAAGATCAAGCAAGGGAAATCATTATAGGAAAGAAGAAGTGACTGTGAGACTGATAACCATTTCTCAGTTGGGCTCTAAGATGCAAATCCTGATGGGATCTCGAACCGCAGAGGGAGCAAACATGCTCCATGTCGCATCCAGGACTACACTTTCCGTATATATTCCATCCTGTGCACACTTGATTATGACCGCGTTCGGGGGAACATAACTGGTTGTTGATCCACAGGGCCCAAACGAACTCCCCGTCACGGTCAACTGAGTGAGAATCGGTCCGATGGCCTTGTTTCCCACATCCAAGACAGCAAGATGCAGGCTGGCTCGTCTTACTACCTAGCGCCCTGGGTGCAGGTCTGAGGATAAAAAGGGAGGATAGGGCGAGAAGCGGGATTTAGAGAGACCACTGTTCGAGGATTTGACATAACCTTGGGTGTTGCATAGTACCTCCTCCTGGATGGAGTGTTTCATCTCGTCTAGTTTTTGCGCCAGCATCGCCCTATCCCAGGCTCGATTGTAGTTCACCATCGCGAATGAATAATTGAACATCGCCCTTTCCTCATGAAGCTTGAATTCTTCGGGCTTCCAGTATCTGTACGATTTCCAGGGATGGTCCTGATTGAGGAAGTACGCGAAGTGTTGCGACGCAAAAATGAATCGGTTCCCGGATTCCTTCTCCCTCGACCTCTTCAACTCATATTCGCAGAAATTCTTGGCCGCCTCCTTGAATTCTTCGAACGAAAGGTCTTCAAGGAGCATAGGGTCACCTTCGTCTATGCCCAGCTGCTTCCCTACGGCCTTTATACCTAGAACTTAATCCGATTTTGAGCCGTTTCGGAACTTTATTTTGGGCATAGTTTGGTGGAGCATCTCAATACGAGTGAGAGCGTCGTTGGTGAAGAAAGGGAGTGGGATGTTTTTGAAGTATTGACCCGCCTTCATCAGCTCCAACGGGATGGTGATCATCCTACGCTTCGTTGAGTCCCAAACAACCTCTAAGACGTCTCCGACTAGATAAGATTCTTCTTCTTCTGCTCGAGTTACAACAGAGTCCCTCTGTTTCTCCCCCTGCTTCTGCTTCTTCTCCTCGTCCGTCTTGGTCTTCATCCACCCCAGAGTCACGAGGCTAAGCTTTGCCTTGAGACGATCAAAAAGCGACGGCGTAGTGCGGATGAGTTCAATCTCCTCGAGTGCTATCGTCACGTAGGAAGCAGATGGAGAACCAGGTTTCGACGCGAGTCCTTGTTGTTTGAGGACGTCTTTTTTCCTCCTCGCGCGATTCTTCTCCTCGATAACATAATTCATATCTAACCTGGATTCCAAGTCGAGCCGCCTGAGGGCTGCGATTAGTTCCGGTGTTGCATGGGTTATATGCGTCCAATCTGGGTTGCTTAAAGAGGCAGAGGTCGGGAGAAAAGAGTTAAAAGAGGTTCCGAGTTGGGACATTTTAGAAGTGGGTGTAAATATTGAAAACGCGAAATCCAACAAAGATTGTGCGCGACGATGAGAGGCAGGAAGTAAGTAGTCTGATCAAAATCGGAGTAGGTTTACCGTACCTCGACTTCAACATCACGTGCAACTCACATGTCACTGAAAAATCTAATTAACGGGCGTCGCGTCTTCGCATCCCATCGTGTTTCTCGTCTCCATGGCTGTATTTGAGTCATCATTCAGATAGAAAATGTATACTACTGCATATTTACTAGCTTAGAGCTCTCGATTTGCATCACAAGAGCTCTAAATGTGCTGTATATTGACTGGAAGCACCTCTTTTTCACCATTGAGGAGGATGTTCAGTATGGAAATGCAGCATACATAGGTCAGTCAAATTGTGCTCACCATCTGCTGGAGTCTGAGCTGTTCTTGGGCAAGTGCTCACAAGAAGAGCGCACAAAACACCCAGAAAAGTAAGAACGACCTGCAAAATGCTCCTTAGACGCTTATTAGACGCTCATGGTGAGTCATGAAATTACATATCCCCGAAAAGTTAAGCCCAAAAAAGGAAAGATTTGGCAGTTCGAATCGAGGTCCGGGTAACACGCCGCGACTTTTAGCAGACTCTAATTCAGTAAGCTTTGCTTACAAGAGTCTGCCTAGGGGAGACTAGGAAGTAAGGAAAGGAGGAGAAAGGATGGGCGCCCAATTCGGCAGTGGGAAACCGTTCTGCCGGCGCCCATGCCGGCCTCTCATTGCCTTGCTATATCTTATATCCTATGAGAAAACAAGAAAACAAGAAAACAAAGCCTGCTCCGCAAACTTCTTCTATCGGAAAAAGAAAATGGAATACAAATCCATTGTCCACTGCGAGATTCGAACCCGCATCACTTGAGTAGACGTGCGGGCATCGAAGCGGATAGAACCCAAGCGCTCTAACCATTGAGCTAAGTGAACATGGAGTGGCTCAATCTAATAATCTACACAGCCCACAATATGGTAGGCTTAGCTCAATGGCAAGCCCACATTATAAAACCTTACTGTTCTTTTCTTTTATACACATTTTTACTTATACCAACTCGACGTCTCCCTGTTATTGTTATGCCATTGAACAGCAGACTCCGTGTAGTGATGGTAGAAGGCCTGAATCTTCGGCGTAGCAGCGTGAAACAAATGCTAAGCTGCTCGGTTCAAAGAATAAACCCATGTCTGTCGCGACTTGAAGCGACGATGAATAAATAGCCTTCTAGAGTGATAGTCACCACTTCTGGGTCTATGACTCGATCAAGAAAAGGAAAGAATGCTGAGGGATTGTCTAATGCAACGCTTTCACTGGATCTAATTCAGTAAGCTTAGCTTACAAGAGTCTGCCTAGGGGAGACAATTTCACTGGATGATGATCAGACAATGGGACATCTACAACCGTGACAGAAACTAAAGGAAGCAAATACACGACTTCCACTAGGAATGGAGGGGCAGGCCACGACGTTTTGAGAGAGACCAAGACTTGACAGAGGACTTTCTGCAGCAAGCAAGCCCAATGGTGGGAGAAGAGAGAGAGATCAAAGCATAGCAGTCACGTTCGAGCTTAAGCGGGCATAAAGGGATTGCGATTGAAAACAGATGAGCCACGAAATAGAGAACTTTCAAAGCAGCGAAAAAAAGTGTACTCTAGTGTACTTTGTAAAATTCATCTTGGAGAAGTAAAGTGACGAGCACTTTACGAGGTATAATCTAATTTACTTGAGACTATTTACTTTACCTTTACTTTCCTAAAGTACAGTGTGCTTCCGCTGCTTCGCAATCTTTGACGAAATAGACACGTCTCCTGGTCCATAGAAAAGCTAAATAAGCGCTCATGGTAAATAAGCGCCCCAGAATCACACTCATCGCGGGTCCGCAAAAAAGTTTGCTGAGTAACAAAAAACTTCTACCTCCAAACATGGAATTCGTTCCTGCTCCTGCTATCCATCGTGTCCTTTGTGCTGACTGCGAATCTCAATCGATCTGCTACTGTCTTCACATCTTTCTCTCATCAGGTACACCGATTGTACCCAATTCCGCTATTTTATGCGTCGCTTGCGAAATACGTGTGATGTTTGCCTATCAGTACAGATGAATTCTGATCAGCTTATAGCATGGACATAACAGAAGGAATACCCAAGCAAGGTACGATGAAACTCCAGATCTCTACCCACACATTCTGATTGCTCCATCACAGCACCGGTCTCATACTGCAGAAACTGCGAACGATTCCTAGCACCCCCGCAAGCTTGGGTCCTTGCAAGACCAGAATCATCTGAGCTGCTTGCGCTGTGCTCGAAAAAGCTGAAAGGATCAGCCAAAGTGTGGCTGACATAGGCACAGAACCACATTTAAAACGGTTACCCGTATCGCTAACGATCCAGAAGTATGCAGCTCATACTCTTCCCGATGAATTCCACTTACTGATGCATAGGTCCTCACCCGCACCATATTAGAACAAACCTTCGAAATAGAGTACCTCGTGCAGCATGGTCAATGTCCCGATTGTGCAAAACTTGCAGCTAAAAAGACCTGGAAGGCTCTTGTTCAAGTTCGGCAAAAGGTCTCTCATAAAAGGACCTTCCTTTTCCTCGTACAACCTATTTTGAAACATGGCGCTCGGAAGGACACGATCTCAGTAAAAGAAGTCATGAAAGGACTAGACTTTTTCTACAGTCAACGAAGCCATGCGGTCAAAATGATAGAATTCTTGACGGGTGTTGTTCCAGTAAGGTTAGTAACACATACCTTGCTTGATCTACCAAGATACACAGTAATACCGCCGACACCATGTACTAAGTACACCTATTCCGTCGAGATCATGCCCATCTGCAAAGACGATCTAGTTTGCATACCACCAAAACAGGCCCGACAGCTTGGCAACATCAGCCCACTCACCCTCTGCACAGCACTCGAGTCGGCAATTCCATCCAGGTGTCCTTTCTAAATTAGGTATCGAAAGATTATGTAATCTACTGAGGCCAGCACTTTAACGCTCATCTCCGAGTCCGTTACATACGCCTTCCAAAGGTCCTCCACGAGGATCTTTCTTCTTCAATACGCGTCCACGACGTCCATCACTTCATTACTGGATGGATAGGTTTCGGAAGGTCCAGCACCCGCGATTTGAGTAGGATCGCTTTTTCTATTCTATCAGTTGCCGTTGTGTAAACACATCACTTCTTTAAACACACATACCCATACCACTCCTTTCAAATACACTGCTCGTTTCATTGCTTGTTTAAATACTTTAATCACATTGAATGTTTAATCTTGAATACATTGTGTTTAAACACTTGAAAGTCAGGTTTAAATCTGGTTTGAATGGGCAGTGATTAACTCTCAGTCAGGAAGTGTTCAAACATACAACATATGAGCTCATCCTACGTATAAGATCCTCTAGAGCATCCAATGTTTAATCATTCGCTTGTTTAAATATGTTTCAATACTTGAGGGACCAGTCATTGGATGTTTAATGGTAATAGGCTCGATTTCTTCATTCTGCGTTTACGACGACAGTGTCAAGACCCTATAAAGTAACCGTGGCGCACGGTTCAGTGCTCGCGAAGGAAGCTCTAATCGCAAAGTTTACTCATGTTCCTCATTCTAAGCAGTTATGATATGCGGGCAATATTCATGACTAGAGCTCTGGAAGTAGTACTATGTAAGTGGAATATCAATGGCGATGACACAAAGGTTTCGGCGCGCAAGTGAAATGATATGACTGAAGTAAGTTTGAGAAGGCATTTGGCAGAGAAGTAAACATGGCTGGAACAACCAGAAGACCAGGATAAGTTGAATATGGAGCCCAACAGCTTGTAGACATTCACATAAGCAAAGAGTAGAGCACGAAATGTTGAGAACTCACTTGAGCAATGGGGGCCTTGAAAGCGTCTGAATCATCTCCAGGCAACCTCTCCAAAACAAACAGCTCAATTTCTACAGTCAAAACACCTTTCAAAAGCGAGGCAAACACTTTCTGCATGCAACAGGAGCACACTTTGAGAGAAATAAAAAGATAGACCAGAGTTTGAACGAGAAAGAGCGCATTCATTTCAAAAAGAGGAAAAATCCTCTGCAAACGCCAAACAGATATAAACACGGACACCATTCACCAGTGTCCTCACGAAACCACTATTGCTGAGTCGCTCGCAATAAGAAGTAATTTCAACGTCCCTGTGGCCTTCCCTGCACATTCCGTCGAAGATACTAGGTATACACCGTGGCACGGTGTTCTGCTCGCGAAGCCTAATCCTAGTTGAGAAGCAATGGTCATAAAGGACGTTCATCAATGATTTTGAGGAGATTTAGCAGAAAGAACTTGAACATGCAAAAAAACTCACCAAGAGCATCCGAATGTTTCCTGATCTGTGTCTCCCAAATCTTCCAAGCTCAAAACCTGGACTTATCGCATCGTTCAAAACCACTTAAACCGTTAACAGCACTCGAGGTGAGTATCTCTTGAGATCATCAGACAGAAAGAGAAGGATTTGAGCGAGAAACGACGCATTCATGTCAAAATGAAGCAAAATCCTCTATGACATGCAAAAGCCAAACAAGTACAAATGCAGTCAGGTCTCTATCCACCCTGCATGAACTCGGTTGCTTCGCTTCGCTCGCAATGACTGCTCAAGCTCAAAGTTCCCTCTTTTCGAACGATCGGCGATGAATGCGTTTGTGGAGATGTATCGTTTATTCCAGAGAGAATATTTATAAGTGAAAGCACACCGAAGAAAGTCAATATGGCATGCATTGACTAAAGCACATGCGACATAGAGCATTGGCATGAAGACATCGAGAAGACGTTTTCATAGATCAAGATGCCAAGTGACTTTCTACTCGGCGTCTAGGACGACAGTTTCAAGACCCTATAAATCAGAGCCATGAGAATGATTCAAGAAAAGCAAGATTCTATAGACGACTGCCCTTGAATGGGGTGACCGGAACATGTGAAGCGTAAACATAGAACTTGTCCTTGGCACTGCCTTCATCGTCATTGCGCCGCCCTAGTTATCACAGTCTAAGTCTTCGGAATCACCACCGCGACATAGAAATACTCACTTTATAGCTTGACCCTCAAACTGTGAGGCACTGCCTTAATTACCTGCGCCCATACATGCAGCCTGGTTCAACATTGGATCAAGACGGATATCGAAGGTCCCCTTGACCTTGCAGATTTCGTCACAGATTTGACTGCCCAAGCCTCTTTTTGAATGATCTGCGATGAACTCGTTTGTGGAGATGTAACGTGTATTTCCGAGCGACGACGTCCTAAAGGGCTGAACAAGTTTTGCCTCCAGTGAAAATTTGATTTTGTTCGACATGAAATCCTTATGCATGAACCTTTCTGGTAGTTGAAGCCTATGAGATGTGCCAGGATCAGCAGGAAATTTTACTAAAGGGTAGTGAGCGCACCATTGAAATACCTGGATCGGATTGATCGCATCACGGATCCGAACGTTTTCTACATGTTGACATAATCCACGCCAGTTTCCTTAGATTTCCCTTCTCATTGTCTCGTCCGATGAGCTCTATAAAGTTCGTTGATTTTTCTGTAATTACGTAATTCTGGTTCCTTTCAGCGTCCCCACCACTACCGTCGCAACTGGCAAGCCTTACTGTGACTATCCAGCCTTGAATTCAGCCAAAATCCATCAGCGCGAAGTCACTAGGATAGCAGCATTATCGCAACACACAGGAACCCATGCAAATAATCTGCAAAGGTGCAGGCTAATTCCGGAACATTTGGGTGAGACTCACAGTCAAAAAGTCTTTCCCCAAACCACTACAACGTTCCGCGCGTATAATATGACGTTCCACGAACACTAATATGCCGTTCTCCAGGTAGATGGGACCTGAACAATCCATTTTGCTTGAAGCTGAAGAATACGATGATCTTGAGCGGGATAGTTCAGATGGCAAAGAAGCCAACG